CACAGATGCCACTTGCACCCAAGGACCACCCTGCGCCACACCCAGCTTACAGCAGCGCAGCTCGGCTATGGCTGCCTGCTCCTTCCCTGCTCGCCTGTGAGCGCGTGGGCGCCAACCAACAAAATAGCGCAGCAGCGCTTGCGCAACATGCAGCCAGCACCCGAATGAGGAATGTGGAGGCAGGCCTTCTGGAGAGAAGGTTAACAACGGTCGTATTTTTCATCACCACTTCAGGATGCAGCCTGCCTAAACAGGTGGTTTTCAGGGTCTTCGTACCTTTCACTACTTCAGGACTATTCAAGTATGAAAATCCTGAATGGTCCTGAAGTGGTGAAAGCTCCGAAGACCCTGAAAACCATCTGTTTAGGTAGGCTGCATCCTCAAGTGGTGAAGGGTGGTTTTCATGGTCTTCGGACCTTTCACCACTTCAGGACCATTCAGGATTTTCAGACTGCCCAAAACTCTCACTTGACCACTTTAGGACACCCTTCACCACTTAAGGATGCAGCCTGCCTAAACAGGTGGTTTTCAGGGTCTTCGGACCTTTCACCACTTCAGGACCATTAAGGATTTCCAGACTGCCCAAAACTCTCATTTCAGAATTTTCATTCCTCAATTTCCATTCCTCAATTTTCAGCTACCCGACAACCGCTTGTGGCCCTTTGCTATATCGAAGTGGCCTGCTTGTGTCCAGTCCCAGGAGGCTTCAAGTAGGCCCCGGTAGCCTGAGGCCCAGCACGATCGAGAACAGGCCTGGGGCCTGAGGTGGTTGCATGCACCCAACTGCCTTTGGCGTGTGTTTGGTCGAGTACCCATATCCAGCCCAGGGCCTGCTTTCCATACATTCACACAGGCAGCTCAGGGCCTGGATTCTCTCAACCAACTGGCGTTGCGCAACTGCCTGAATTTCCTTAGTTGCGCAGTGGCCGAAATAAGGCCCTCAGGGCCTCGTCGAGCCTACCTTCACTTAGGGCGGCCGACTGGCTCCAGAATGGGGGCTGAAAGGGGCTCATAGAGGCAATGGCCGCGCATTCCCTCCTCCTTAGCTTCAACAGTCCTCTGAGAAGCTCAATCTTCAACCATAGGGCGCTTTCCCTTCTGCAAAGATCTCTCGTAGTGGGCTATAACTTGCGGAGCGGTCTGCATGAGTTCCTCCCTGGTGAACCAGCGGTCCTCCTTCGGATCAGTGTGATACCGAAACCGAACGCGATACTGCAACTTCGCTTTCGAAGGACGTCCCTTGCCTGTTGGTCTTGATACCGACAACTCTCTGTGGTCCACGATGTCATCGATGTCCACCTCTCCGTCCATGGTTGGGGGCATCATTGAGCGGCGAGATGGAAACTGATCAGTTTCTTTGAAAGGTGCAAGTTTGGAGGCGTGAAAGACGGGGTAAGTACAAAGATGACCTGGGATTCGGATTACATAAGATGGCCCATCTGGATCAGTCCCGACAATATCTAAGACTACCCATGGTCCAAAGTACTGTGGCATGAGTTTACGGGAAATCCCGTACTCATGTCCCAGTTCTGAGGACTTTACCCAAACTCTGTCCCCAACCTAAAACGTAGAAGGTCGGCGGTGTCTGTTCTCGGTCTCTATCATTGCTGCCTGTGCCTTTTGGATCTGCTCTACCGCCTGCTGCATTTTCTGTTCATATCTGTAGGCAAACTCTAAAGTACCCGGTGCAGCAGTTGATTGATTCTCAGGAAGGAGAAAGTCTAGGGGTAGTCTAGGCTTGAAAGTCAATAGTAAATTGTTCGGGCTCACCCCAGTGGCGCTGTGTACAACATTGTTGTACAAGCTGGCGATGAGAGCAAGCTTCTCATCCCAGTCCACCTAGTTGGGCTTGATGTAGTGCCTCAACAGGTGTTGTACAACGCGATTCAATTGCTCGGCCTGGTCGTTGGCCTCTGGGTGGTTCCCAGAAGTCATTTGCAATTGGGTTCCCTGCTCTGCAGCAGCGGCCTTCCACAATTCACTTGTAAACCGGACATCCCTGTCACTGATAATAGACTTCGGTAACCCAAAGTCTCTAACCCAGTTCTCTTTGAACATTCGGATCACATACTCCGTCTTTGTTGTTTCCGGCATTGCTACTAACCTAACGTACTTACTGAATCTGTCCACGATGACGAAGATGTGTCGCATCCCAATCTTGCTGGTGACCAGAGTATCCATGAAGTCCATGGACAGACTCTCACCAGGCCGTTCCGAAATCGGAAGGGGCTTCAAAAGCCCAAGAGGAGCCTGCGTACGTGGCTTGTCCCTCTGACAGACGTGACAAGTCTCCACGTACAGCTGGGCATTTCGCATCATCGTGGGCCACCAAAACCGCTGCAGCAGATTAGCTGCGGTCTTCTTGTACCCAAAATGGCCGGTGGCATCATGATACTCACCTAAAAATAATCTACGCAAAGACTCGCTATTAGGTACACACAATCGTTTATTCCCTGCCTTCTCAAGGAACAGCAAGCCATTGACCAACTCAAACTCAACAGAGGTCTTCTTGTCCTTCGCCTGAAGTTTGCGTATGATCTCAGACATGAACTGGTCCTCGCGATAGGCTTCCAATCAAGGACTGAGTAACATTGTCCGTCAGATCGAACTCAGTAATCAGCGCACCTGAGAAATCCGGTCTACGCGATAAGGCATCAACAAACTTGTTGTACTCCCCTTTCAGATACTGAGGGTCAAAGTCATACTGCTCAATGACTTCGATCCAACGCTTGAGAGTGTCAGAGAGTACCAGCTGAGTTCTCATCCATCTCAAGGTCTGATGATCAGTGCTGAGGATGAAGAACCTCCCAAGGAGATAGTGTCTCCAATGGGTCAGAGCCTTATAAACCGCATAGAGTTCCTTCTCATAGGTGGACTTAGCCAACTTCTGAGACGGCATTTTCTTGGACATGTACTCTACAGGCCTCAACTTTGGCCCCTCCAGTTGCGCGAGCATGGCGCCAATGCCATATTGGTTGGCATCCGTGGTGACTATAAACGGCTTATCAGGATCAGGAAGTTTCAAGACCTCATAGTGCGTCAACGCATGCTTCAGATGTCTGAAAGCAGCCTCGCACTCATCTGTCCACTCCCATGGGGTGTCAAGGCGCGTCGGATCAGTCAAAGGAGCGGCCACTATACTATAGTTAACGAAGGTTCTATAGTAGCCTCTCATTCCTAAGAAAGATCTCATCTCAGTCACAGACTGAGGACGTGGCCAATCACGGATGCTGGCCACCTTCGCGTCATCGGGCTTCAACCCTTCCGCGGAGATCTCATGACCCAAGTACAAGACACGGGTGCAGCCAAACTCGCACTTCTCACCGTTAATCTTGAATTTGTGCTGTCGCAGGAAACTGAGGACTTTGTCCAAATGTGCAACATGCTCCTCGACAGTCTTACAAAAAATAAGTATGCCATCAAGGTACACGATGACAAACTTATCCAAGTAGTCATGGAATATCTGATTCATAGCGTGCTGAAAGGTGCCAGGAGCATTACAAAGGCCGAAAGGCATCACCACAAACTCGTACAGACCGTACATGGTCTGAAAGGCGGTTTTGTGTTGATCCTCGGGCCGGATTGCAATCTGATGGTACCCGGACTTCAGATCTATCTTACTGAAGTATCGACACCCTTGCACTCTATCTAGCAGATCATCGATGCGCGGTAGGGGCTCTCTGTTCTTTACAGTGATGGCATTGAGGCCCCTATAGTCAATGCACATCCTAAGTGTTCCCTCCTTCTTCTTAGGTGCGAATAGAACTTGAGACCCATAAGGAGAGACACTCGGCCGGATCCAACCCTTCTCTACGAGTTCCTTGAGTTGTCGGCAAAGCTCATCGAGTTCGCCTGGAAACATCCGATAGATCCTACCCTTCGGGATACTAGACCCAGGGATAATCTCTATCGCGTGGACGACCTCCCTCTCTACAACCCCTGTCGACTCTTCAAATAGATCAGGGTACTTGGCAACTACTCCCTCTATCTCCGAAGGCATTTTTACCGGCTCGCCTGCAGTAGAGACATAAACTAGGTACATACCCTCCTCCTGATTTTGCTTATAATAGTTATAGAACGCGGCCGCACACATGCATCCATGGGACTCGATCAGACCACTAGCTTTGAACTTGTGCAATCTGGCGGTCCCTCCACCTGGCAAAGTGTGTTTGACCACTTTTCGGTCCCAGTCAAACTGGGGCTGAGCCACAGAGAGGTAGTATATTCCTAGTAACATATCCATTGGGAGCTCGTCACTCACTAGGAACGAGACGCGATGTCTCAATTCCCCTCCCCCGTACGGGAAACAACACTCAACCTCCTGGAGGTAGTCGTTGAATACCATGCGCTGTTTGTTGGCACAGATCGACTCCACAGGTCGACTCAGGCGCTGCACTCGCCCCTGTAAACGCAGCCTCTCAACGCACGCGCGACTAATAAAGTTCCTTGTCGAGCAAGTGTCATAATAGGCCCCAGCCTTGCGGCCGCCAATGACTACCTCGCTGACGAACATTTCACCCTTCGGGGCATTGACTAGGGCCGTCCAAGAAGCTAGCGGGTTTAATCTAGACCACTCCTCCTCTAGCTCCTCTAAGGATTCAAACACATTCATCGAACAGAGGTTCGCTGGGTCTGAACATGTTTGCGGGACGACGCTGGAGTCAGTAGCTTGGGCCATCTCTCGAGATGGTGAGGGTGTCTCCACCACCTCGACCCTAGTAGGAACAGCGACTATTCCTACTGGCCCGACGTGTTTCCCGGAGCAGAGCCTGAAGTGCTGGCTACATTGCTATAAACGGGATGTGAGGATCCTACCGCCTGCCCCATCGTAGGCGGGATCTTGTCGGTCACCTTCTTGTTACGGCACTTAAACTGATTATGGTCATATTTGCCACAAAGAATGCAAGCCTGCCGTGTGTACCGATCTCTCCGCACGTCCTATGTGAGACCCTCCTTCTCCCATGGGGGAGCGTTGGGGTCAACTTAACTCCTAGACCGGGAGCCTCTGCGGCGTCTACCGGTCGCCTGACCTTTCTGAGCTACGGCAGTGACTACTCCACCCTCTGAAGCTTCTGTGTTGCGAGCCTCTGCACCTACTCCTTCCTGGAAGTGTTCGTCTAATTCGATGGTTGAAGCATCGTTATCGACAAACATAATGCGCCCTTTCGCCTTCCAGTTAGGAGGCAGTGTCTTCCTCCTACCATCCGTAGTGGGTGTTTGTCCATACCCTATCTTCGCCTCGAGGTCTAGGGCCTTCTTGCTAAACGAAGGAAAGTTGTGCATATTGATGTTGGCCTCACCTGCCAACCGGTTCCTGAGAGGCAAAGAGAAGCATCTCAGGTACGAGGTGAGTAAAACCTGGCGGTCATAGCGCACCCCAGGAACACAGATCAGACGCTCAACAGCGTCAGTGGCTTCCCTTACGGACTTAAACTGCCGCGTGTGCAGTGTCAGGATCGCATCAGTGGCCCTTTGGGCCTCCTGAGGATCATGCCACCTTTCCTCCACCAGCTTAAGGAAGTTATTCAATTTCTGGGTGACCGCCCAAGCGTGGAAGTCATGACCATACCCCTGGAGCTGTACTAAATCACTCAACCATCTTGCTGCACTACCCTCTAGGTAGGAGGCAGTCACAATCACTTCTTCGTGTGGCAAGGTAAGTTTACACCTAACATAGACTGGCACTGCCCTCAACCACGTGTCAAGGTCTTCGCCCCTCTTATCCCCTGTGAAGGGTTTAGGAGCGGCGATGGCCGTCTTTGGCACCCATTGTGTCTGTCCCGGTCCCTGCATCACTCCGGGCTGTGGACCCTGTGACACAGGTTGTTGTGGTAGCTGCTGGGGCTGTGTACCCTGCGACTGCACAGACTGCGAGACAACAGGCTGCGTGGTAACCGCAACCTGCAACGGAGATTGGGTGTACACTGTCTGTACAGGAACCTGCAAACTAGAACCTGTTGTTATCCCTCCTGATAGCGGCATGCCCAGGGAAACGATCGCGACCGATGATAGCGCTACATATAGGGATACCCCAGTCACTGGTGGGACAAAAGGAGGAGATTGTACAACGGGCCAGGCACCAGGCCCGGACATTGGCGACGTTGCCTGCGCTCGCCCAACCAATAGGGCCAGGCTTTGTTGAATGTCCTGAAGGATGGTTGTCTGATGGTCCTGCATTTCTACTACATTTAGCAGGACGGACCGTACGATCTTCACGTCATCAGTCACGTGCGTCAAGTCAATCTCCTCTAACTCACTAACGTCCGCTTGTCTACGCTGCATCGTGGCTCTTCTTCCGATCATCCTTTCTTTCTTCGCTTTTGTACCTCCTAACGCCTTCCGTAGTTGTGCCTCCTCCAATGCTGCTTGTTGTATGGCGATCTCATCGGGCGTCAACACTAGTGGCTGGCTTGCCATTACGCCAGCGGATTGACTCTGGGTCGGTGCGACCGTTGACCCGACAGATCCTGAACTACCGGCCTGAATAGTCTGCTGTGCAGAAGTGGCCATGGCTTCCGAAGCTGCGGCCTCACTCACAAGTGCCCTGCTAGCCTCTGCTGCTCTAGCCCTCCTCTGCTGCTGCTGCCTCTCCCTAAGCTAGCGGGACAAAAAATTGTCGCCCTCTGGTCCTAATGCCAAGTGGGCAATTGGGCGTCTAGCCGATCGCAATATCCTCCGGTCGTCCTTTCCAGTGTCCTCCTCGTCACTCATTAGCTACGACCCTGTACACAATCTGCACTAATGCACTCTAGGTGCCTACCGCAGCGTAGTGCACAGACCAATTAACTAGTGGCTATTTCGGAGACTTTACATTCGGGTCAACAGGTAAGTCAGATTCCTATAAATAAAACTATTTTTAGTTTGACTAGTCCGCAAACAGAAGCACCATGAACAAGAAATTGTTCTAACTAATGCTGTCTGTCAGATGTCAATAGTTGTACACCTAACTAATCAAAACATAAAAATAAAATCATTTGTGTGGATAGGACAACATGGAATTTTCTCGAACTTATCAACTAGAATTTACCCCTCCCTTAGTTCCCCTGAGTATCACTTGACGTCAGCGTCCCTGAGCAATCTGGAGAGCGTCGCGTGTCTAAAGGTGTGTGTCTGGCCCACCCCTGTGCCCCGAGTATCTGCTGAGCTGGCCAGCCCTGCACTGGATTATCCTCGCGTGCGGCGAGCCTTACAACCATTGGCTGATTTAGAGGCAATTTAACGTCCGCCCCCAAGTGACTCGAGGAATTCTTTTACGTCGCAGCCGGACGACGATCACAGCCAATGGTTCCCCTTTTGGTGCTTATTTAAAGACGCCCGGTCTTGTCTCCCTTAGGGGCTGGCCTGCCCTTCAGTACCCATCTAACAGTGCAGCAAGCCGAACAAAGGACAAGTAGCAGGGCATGCGTGCTCTACTCCTGGTGGGTTGGCATGGTGACCGTGCCCTAGTGCTTCGTCCAGGGCCCTTCAGAAAGCTCCGCCCATCTTCTCCCAAATGCTCCACTTGAACATTGTCGATTCTCAAGGTTGAGCGCACTCGACACCTCACAATGAGAGGACTCTCAAGAAGGAACACACAACCTCACGGTAAAAAGTGTCGGAGAGGGTAGATAAGGTTAAGAGCAACGTACCTCAAATAGCTGCCCCCAACCACAGAGATAATCTCACCAGTGACCAAATGCCGATTGTGATGACCAGTCATTGCTTTGGCACAACCAGCATTATCTCGTCGTTCCACCTCAGCATCAATCGCACATTAGATAGTTCTCATCACATTGTCCAGACCACATTACTCCCACGTAGCCTTCCTGGCGATCCCCTCACCTCCTGGGTCGCCTATCACTTGCCTCCGCCCTCCTCACTACACACCACTTACGGCCAAACTCGCCAAGCAGACCGCATGTATGTACCGCATAAGGCAGAAGACAAGCGCCAGATGAGCGCAATCGTACCACAGCTCCGATACCAAATTGCAAGGAAGATGAGCAATAGCGAACTTCAGCAATCAAACAGTATCATACATATGAGTCCAGATAGTCGTGACCTCGAACCAACAGCAGAATTGCATCACGAGATTCACCAAATAAGAACACACCAAGAGTTCATAATTGACAATGCTGAAATAGTCCCATCATCATCATCAACGAAGAACYAGAGTTGATATCCTATYTGGCGCTCGRCGCCCAKACTAYATGTGGCASAKCCTATCTAGCCYATACTACAATRYCGAAGTTGACGACAAYARCTCTCCMGAAGTACGAGCATACARCGACCAATGTCGCACGCTTCCAGCACCAGGTATGTCTCTCRCCTTACTCACAACCTCGTTCCCCAACACACAGATGCCACTTGCACCCAAGGACCACCCTGCGCCACACCCAGCTTACAGCAGCGCAGCTCGGCTATGGCTGCCTGCTCCTTCCCTGCTCGCC